TGTTGAGAATATCATTTAGTCAAATAACGAAACAGTTTTAGTAAGAGTGAGAGGCAAGAATGAAATTTAAAAATTCAATGACTTGAAAATGAAGACTTTTTTCGACCAGTATTAAAAATCGCTATTTTCAATGCTCTCTCAATCTTAAGTTTTACCTAATACCAATACATTTAAAATTATCACACCTAGGCGGAAAAAACTTCTACCATTCGACTTCAACAAATGTATTGCATATTTCTCTTTGGAAAGTAATCCGATTCTACAATAAATATTTCTTTCAGTTTATTAGAATTATAATTTATACTGCATCTTGGCAATATGACACAGGCATTATTTTGAAACAAACAACTGAAAGTTTATGTCACAACTCATTTCGAACTAAAATTCCTAAAAATGCCCAGAACATGAGGAAGAAACTCGGGTGAATGTTGACGGCTTGCATCTTCAAGAATACACTGGAAATCATGCTCGGACATACGACTTGACGGCGAAGTAAAAGCAGAAAAATCACGGAGCATTTCTTCCAAATCATTCAGCGAAGGAATTGGCCTCAAAGCCGTTGAAACATCATATGTTTGATCATAATAATTATCTCTATATCGTACCATATACCATCCATCTTCCTCCTAAAATTCTAAAACATTAATTTAAAATAGTTACATCATACTACATTAATAAGGAGATTGATGAAACAGTTATTGCCGATGTGAAACATTGTTAAAATATTTAAACTACCTGCAATGTATAACAAAAATTATAAAACTCTTTCGTCATATAAATAAATTTCGTGAAGTGCAAAACTTAAAAACTGAAAAAAAGAAAAGCAACTACAAAAGCATAACCGTTCTTTCACGCTCCGCCCAAGAAATTTGTCTGAGATCTTCTTCCAAAACAACTGCCAAATCATTAGTTAATGTATGATATCCTGGCTGAAAGCAACTAAATTTGTGAAGAACGTTAGGAATACCTGATTGGCGCAATGAAGGAAGGTTTGATTGCAGCAAAATTTGATACATTTCCAGGACATATTCTCAGAAAGCACAATAATAATATACCACCTCACTCTGAGTAACTAAAGCAAGACAGGCCTATCGCCAGTCATTTTTCGCGTAGACAAATAGAACAGTTTGCTATATAGGAAGCTATCATAGTTATGTTTAGCGTATAATAGTACTTTTACTGAAGAAATGCTAAAGTGAATGAATAATTCCAGTTACAAATATAAATGAAAATAAAAAAAGTATTGAAAGAAGGCAAACCTTAAGGACAGAACTGGAATCATTCACTATATTGCTGAGAAGCAAAAGATTAGCAAAGGGATTAAGAGGTTCGATTAGTTTGGACTCAATGCCTAGGCTCAAACACAACATTACAACTGCGCGGTTTAATTTGAAAATATCCGTATCAAATAGACCATCCGTCCATTTTCTGCATGATGAGAATTCTTGATATGATATCTAAAGCAGAATTTTGAAACCCATTAAAAGGCATTTAAAATTTCCAAAAAATTCTTGTTTTGGTCATTGCCCAATTAAAAGAAAAAAGGAAAGTAAAAAAGAGAAATTTGTAAAATAAAGATGAAATATTTGATGCCAGAGAACTCTGCAAGATCAGATAATACAAATTTTTACTTTTTCAAACCAAACTAACCTAAATTTCAGAAAAAAAAGTCCAAAAATGAGGAAGATTAAGAACGTAACCTGCTCAGGTACACACACATCGAAATTAACGGTTAATAAATTAACAAGCTGGATAGTATAAACAAATGCAGCGAACATATTATGCACCGGTCGGGCAACAGGTACGGTTGGAATGCCTATGCTCAGCCATCCTTTCAAAATTTTATAGTGGGTTCGACCTGGCGCGTCACAGTCACAAATCTGAAAAGCTTCATTACCACCACAACCAAAGACATTTTAACGTAAATATTAGAAGAGGAAAAAAGTGCGTGGTAAAAATCTGTATACTGATAATAAGGTGTAATGCGAAAGATTATTTCGTTAGAAATTTCTTTTAATTTCTCTGCCTAAAGACTTTTAAATGGCACTTGAAGATATTGAAATATATAAAATGGCCCTCACATAAAACATCAAAAAAACGAATGAATAGTAAAGAAAGCACAAAAATAAACAATATCGGAAGTACCAAGTTTACCGTGTAGCAAGGTTCTGAAGATGTTCCACATTCCACTGGAGTTAGTACTTTATCTGTCGATGAAGCAAATTCTTGACTGAAAAGTAAAAAAAACATTGATGATTGTTTTATATATTTTTCTCCCTAAATGTATGAAAGAATAAATCTTGAATCGAAATTTCTACAATTGACAAGCATGAAACTAAGTTCATTTACCATGCTTCTGCAATCATTTCTCGACAACGTTTCTCCACATCATCTACGATAGGTTGCGGTCTAAAGACCCGTTGTATAGGGAAAATCTTTAAAAACCATTGAGCATTGAACTTCATAATGTTTTGCAACTAAAATTAACTCTCTCTTCATGCACTTTCTCACCAGATTTATACTTTTTTGTTAACAGGTGATTTAATTCAATCTGAATCCAAAGTATCAAATTATTAAAAGTAAGCTTGAATTTGATAAAAACAAATAGGGATATTCGACACATTTTAAACAATCTAACAGAATTTTCAAACACGAACAGAATTCGAAATTGTCTAACAATCAAACAGAAACGACAGTACGAAGAGAATTTTTTTCGAAATAAATTTTCGGTAAAAGTCATTACCTTATCCTCATATGCATCGACAAATGTTTGCAGTGAATTTGGTGGTCCACAAAGAACTTTTTGATGTCCACAGCATCGTTCCTATAAAGTGCTCTGTGTCATTAAAAAACATTTTGAATATCTTTATGCACAGATTTGAACAAGAATAATATAAAAGAAAAAATAAACGTAAATTTTACATCTTTATAAGTTGTGGGCAATATGAGAGGTTAGACGGAAAGATGAGGAACGACCTTAAGCTCTTCGATTATCTTGCGATATCTTTCGGTTTTGCTGCATACAACTTTAAGCGCAGCTTTTTTCTTTTTTATAGCTTTCTTCCTGTCAAGAATATTTTGTTTCAAATATTCAATGGATTCATGCGTTGCATGAAACGTTTTCGCTAGAGAAATCTGGAAAATCAGGAAAATTATAAAAAACTAGAATTATTTAATTCAAATTATTTTATTCAACGATATCTTAACTAGTATTTAGATATATTCGTAAAAGTACTTTTTAAAACAAAGAAAACGCTGAATGTTGCTAAGTCCTTTTTAAACTAACATCAGATGCCAAAATGTTTTCGATTTCGCGAGCAAAACAATGGTTCCCGTATTCTTTTCTCCTTTGCAATTTGTATTTGTCAACATACCTAACTGAAAATGAAAATTCTTGATATATTTGCTTGAAATTTTATTTCGAAATAAATATTTCGTTATAAATGAAATCATTGAATAAAAATTTTAGCTTTGAAAAGCAATTAGAAAATAGGACAAAAAAAATTTTCGCTGAAGAAAATGGTGAGATGATTTTATTAAACTCATTTCACCATACTCTATTTTGTCGTTATTACAAAATAAACATGAACAAACTTTTATGATTGATACAACTCCGACACAGGCATAACTTCATGTTGGTACATGACGTACATGGGTATTTGTCATCTGTCCAATCAATTGAGCTGCTGAAAGTAAGAATCTTTAGATAAGACATACTGTAAATTTCAGAATGAAGTAGGTGCCGTTTTTCAAAACCAGCGTTAGAAGTTAATCCAGAAAATTGTAAACGAAGTAAAATTGAAACCTATCAGAATCGTCTCTTGGACTGTTCATCATTGAATTGATACGCGTATATATACCCAATGGTGTTATATCTATGGGTGTATCAATTAAACCTCTGCAATTCACCAGCTCTCCAATATCTGTGTAACACCTCATTTTCCGCGTTTCTGGAAAATTTTCTAAGAAATAAAGCGATCCATCCTAGTATTAAACTGCTCTTCCTTCCTATTTTTATTTCTCCAGTATGAGTAAAATCATGTATATATGAGGGAAATGGATCGCAATTTTATTTTATTAATACAAATAATAACAACATCCTAATAATTGAATTTGAAATGTGCTATAAATTCTAATTTTCTCAGAAAAAAAACTTTGCGTAACCTAGTTTCATTTCTATATGTATATATATATATATATATAAATACCTGCAAAAGGTGCCGAAATACGGTTTACATTCGTGAGATGGCTGTATGGGAGATTGCTTCCTGTATTCATCGTTCACTATGTTTTTTTACCCGATAACATTTGGCAATTACACGGAGAAAGTTATATGATAATTCCCGATCCTGAATAAAAACTATTTTTCTGATTTCATACGATAATACTTATGTTAAACAATACTTGAACGAAGAACACAAACAAAACTACTGATACGAAATGAAAAGATATTCTACAATGTATATCATCAATGATACAAATCGTTTCATGTCAATCAAGTCATTAGTGAAACAAATGATATGATTTAATGTTTTTGGAGAGATGACAGGGATTAAAAAGATTCATAATAGTAAATGTGATAGGGAAGAATGAGAAGAGGGGGAGGAAGAGAAAAGCCAATAAAAATATCCAAGCTTCATGCTTAATGAAACAAGAATTGTAAAGCATCAAAAGCAATTCAGTACATCTCTTCTGGCAAAATGCCAGTGAAGTTTTGTTTTGAATTGGTATTGATCGATGAAAAATATTGGGAGGGGGTTGAAGTAACACTCCTCTCTGATGTCATGGTACCTTGTGTTGCAGATGATATTAGAAGTGCAGGTTACTCTCCCGTTGATGTCACCGTAGCAAGTCGAGTCAACGGTAACGTCACGGAGGTGATAGAGATGATAATTAAAAAGATGTGCAATGTATCATATCTGAATTACAACTTGTTTTTCTTGCAGACGTGATATTTCATGTATGGAAGATATCTTTGATGTGAATGGCAATGTGATAAAATGGGCAAGTTGACGAAATCATCGGATTTAACGAAAGTAATATTAATTGGAGATGTGAACGACAATTTACTCAACTCATTATTGAGTAAGTACTTCATTTGTAAGTATAAATAGATGCGCGGATCCATCAGATGAAAAAAGGAACTATTATACTATTTCTTTCCATATTTTTTTTTGGTTAAATGTATCATTGGCACTTTTTTTACTTGTTGATGAAGTTGACAATCAAACAGCCATTTTATTCTCATGGCACAAGTCTTGTCTCGTTAATGAATTTATCAGCAAGTTGAATTTATGTTTATAGAATGATGTAAGGCAATAAGCAATGCATTATGGATATGAAGTTGTGCTGTGTTAAGTTGTAGGGAACGAAAATTCCATGTTGCAACAGAAGAATGAATTGTTGTTGGACACGAAATACTACGTGGCCCGCTTGAAGGTAATATCGTTGAAGACAGTTGAAAAAATTAAGGAATGGAAGCTTTCGACACCAAACGTAAACGTTGGTGCTGTTATATACAATTATGATGGGGAATTCCGTTCCATTGAGCAATTGAAACGACAGATGTCCATATGGCGGGCGGAAATTCAGGTATAACATTAACGGTTCTTTAGAAATTAGTTTTTCGAATTTTCCTGGTAGTTTTTTCGAATATAACATTAACGATTCTTTAGAAATTAGTAGTTTTTCGGAATTATTCTAAGATTTTGGCCTGAATTTTACATGAGATGAACTTCCATGTTGTTATGATATAAACTATAATATTTCCATGAGCTATAAACTATAACTATAATATAAACTATAACTTCCATGTCATATAAACTGTAATATGGATTATTTCGAAATAGTTTGAGAATTTCTTGTAGTCTGTCATTGGAAGGATTGCTTTTTGTTGGCATCCACATCTTGGTCTCTTTTTTTCAGGTCACTGTTTGTAGGCGTTTGGAACGTTCGGCGGATTGGTCGGAAATTTTGTATCGTTTCTGTGGTGGTGAACAAATAGAGTTAGTGGAACTTGACCCAGATGCTGTAAGTTATGCTGAATTATTAATTGGAATTATGCATGAGCTTAAAAGTTTTCGAAGTTTCAAGACAATTCTTGACAATTAAAAATTTCTACCACATATAATTTTCAATTTACATATGAAGGGTCTCGCTAGTTATATTGGAAAATATTTTACGCTTTTTAGGATGATAACTTAAGTAATATCAATGTTAGGTAGTTCAAACTGTAAACCAGAATTACTTTATTGAAGTTGTGATGTTTACTCTTATTCATTATGAAAAGAAAGAAAGGAAAAGAGACTTTCTGCTCTTGTTATGCACATGTATTTCAGGAAACAATAGAAGAGCTAAATGAATGCCGCGAACTTTATGGAATACCTCGTATATGGCAGGTTGGCTTTTGCCTTCTTTCAGTGATGCATTATTGACATATAGATTATAGAATGACACTCATAATGAAATGAAAATTATGCTGATTATGCTGAAAATTATGGAAATTATGTGGATGATATATGCCAAACTTCCGCTGCATATTGTGTTATCAAACCTTGGAACAATGAAGATCTCATTGAAATTACCAGGCATCATAACTTCATTCGGATTTTTGCTGCGACGTTATTGACTTGGCGTTTAAGTATCTTGGTAATTTCGAAAAGCTTGTTACTGCTACGGAGTACTTTTCTATTGACGTTTCAGATCTTAGAAGCTGGAAATTGGAGTAATAAGATAATGAAGGAGAATCCACTTGTATCGAATAAACAACGAGATTTTGAGAAAGTTGATCATATTAATAGCTCTGCTAAAGAGTCTGCCGAAGATTCTTTCGATGATGAGGAGTTTGGATCAGAGGATTACGATATGACGGATGAAGATAAAGGTACTTGTAATGAGTAAGAATGAATTCAACAGTAATGAAGAGCTAGTAACAAGACGTTACGAATTCTTTGTCTCTGAGTGCTAAATAATTTTCTTAAGTTACTAGATAATTTTCTTCAGTACCTATTTTGCAAGAATTTTTGAGGAATTATTTTGCAGAAATGATACTGAAGCTATTTGGAGGCCCAAAGGTATCATTCGATAGTTTGATGAAAGATGTAGATATTCCGGATCCTGCAGTTACTGAATATTTCAGACAGGAAACGGAAAAACTGAGGCGTCAGAACAAATTAGCTGCTAGCGTGAGTTTTTCGAAATGCACCTTTCAGAGCAGTTTTCGTACTTTTTCGCCATACACTCAGAAGTCTTGACCTCAAATCAACTTTTGACGTTTCCTTTTGACATGTTTAAGTTTCTCCGGACAAAAGGAGAGTAGCTTCATGAGTAGACCAAACACAAGTTCTTTTTTCAGAATTCGAACTTTTGTGGTATGCCTTGTTTTAAAGTAATGAATCTTTTTGTTTTAAAACAAAATGACTTATTTCAAGAAGAGGAGAAAAAAGAAAAAATCAAAAGTTGCGACAACAAATGAATTTGGTGAATTTGTCGGTGCGAGTAGTTCGAAACAGTCAAATGATGGAACAAAGCAAAATTTGAAAAATGTGATGGGTTCAACGAAGAACAAACATATAGCTGATGATGTGAATGTGAACGAAGAGCAGGAATTGAGTGGTGGTAATTGCAAAGATTATCCAGAAAATTCCAAGAAAAATTCATATGAAATAAGTAGTGTTTCGCGATCAATGATCGATGGATTATTTGACAAAAATACCGACAAACAGGGCACAAGCTTGGTCAATAAAATTCATGCAGTGATTTTTCATTTTCTAATAAAAATTTAGAAATATTTATGACACAGGTTCTGCCCAATATTTTTTTCATTTTCAACAGGAGCACATAAAAGCACGTGAGTGACTAGTGCTAGTCAATTTTTGAAAATTTTCTGTAAGTCAAGTGTAAGAAAAAAGAATCTCTGCAAGAAAGTAGGAAAAGATTCTTTTAAATTGTTTTCTTTTTCATATTCATAAGGTTTAAAAAAAAGTGTTTCGAGATGTCTTTTCATTCTCTTGAAAGTTTAGGCACGATCGGCGTTGCTCAAAATGCCGTTTGGTCCAGAAAGACAGAATTTGGCAGCTGATACGATGGTTGCAGTGATCAAATCAATTGGAGATAGTGATCTTTTCAATAGTTCTTCGGATGATGGACCGCATACCTAGATCCTAGACCTTTACATAACCCACTCGTTTCACTTACTTTTTCTTCTTTTTTTGCATTAATTATGTTTTTGTTTATAGCTGTAACTAATTGCTAAACATCGATAGACCAAAGATTAAACGAACATACGAAGTGGGATGGTTTAACCATTGTCTATCAAATGCTTGTAGCATTTTGCGTTACATAATTATATAATCACCATCATATTATGCAAGTGATAAATTCAACAGTCTTTCTGTTGAATAGTAGTTGCTGTTTTGATTTCTTACAAATCTTAACTCGACCAATTTTGACTTCTATTGGATATATCCTGTTGCCAAGTTAAATTTTTTCATTTTTTCATTATCACGGTAAAGACCGGGGGTGTCTCAATTAATCCATTCCCGGTGAAAAGATAAAATATTAGTATTTCTTATTCGCACAAATCTCCATATCAAATTGCTAAGGGTTATATTATTTTTCACTCGTTGGGACTTCATTCTGATCATTCTGGTCGCTATAGGATCCTTATGCAGTTTGTAGACCTGGGTTTAAAATCACTTGATTTAATATTTTAGATCTAACGGCTGATGACTGTATTATACCAGGAAGAGCCGAAGAGAACAGATGAGATAGATGTTGGTGAGAATGGTTTTACCATCACAAAATTATGCCTTGTTTTCTTCATCTAAACCATGTATCATCACTGAATTTCTCCGCAGGCATGAATAATAGTGGGCAGATAGTTTCTGTCTTAATTCTGCAACTTAATGCCGATAATTAAGCAGTAATAACATTTGTCAAACAAGTTTTATAGGGTGATAATTTCTATGTTTGAAATCGCAATAATTACATTTTCGCTTTACGTCCAAGACATTTCGATATTGGTTATGTGGAGAGACACATGGGATGAAGTAAAAAAGTTGAAAAGTTCAAGAATTGTGAGATAGTAACAACGAGCAAATACAATCGAAGAGAGGTCATTGATGAATTACTGTGATATGATCCACAAATTGAGATGTTGCTGATTTTTTCATATTTCATGCAATTGAGGTAATGTTGCAGAAGTTTAGATTGCACATGCTGCATTATCCTAAAGCTTTCTTTCCAATTGTTCCTTTTTAGCATTATATTATATCAATGCATATCTTACTGTCAAATTTTTATTTTACATTGCTGTTGGTGATTTATTTCCACCCATTGTAGACAATAAATTATTAATGACAAGAAAAAATAGCTCGAATGAAATGAATTAATTAATGGGAAAAATTTTTTCGAAATTTGAAAATAATGTATAAGTGAGGCATATTTTGCATTTTGTATTATGAGGTTATGAAAAATAAATATTCAAATATGCAACAAATATTGCCAATGATAAAATTTCATTATAATAAATGAATAAATATTTTTGTAAAGAAAACTATTACAATGCGAAGAATTATTTATTGCCGTAGTGATTGATGTATTTGAAAAATTATTGATGAAGAATAGTTAAAATTATTGAACAATATTGATTTTGTATCATTTCGTTGAAAGCCATTCATTTAATTTCAAATTTTTGGAAAATCATTTTGAAAAGATACTAAGCATGCTTAATTAAACTAATTATCAGACAAAATTATCTCTTAATTAATTAATTTTCCGATAAAAGTGATTGTCAAATGTTTTAAAATGAATATAAGTATGAGAATTTAAACAATTGTACACATTACATATACTTTTTAACAAAAACATTTCAATTCTTTGTTTCATTAATTTAATACATCCTATCATCAATGAACTCTGAATTACACTGATAATATTTCATTCAACTACACAAAAAGGAGAAATCGAAATGGATAAGTCAAAATATTAATTCGAATATTCGAATCGTAAACAAAAAAAAAATTGGAAGGCTAAAATTTGAAAATATATGTTATGTCATTGCTCTTAAAAAAGTGATTGTGAATAGTGGCTTTTATCAATAAGCTAACTGTTACTACAACATTGTTTCACAAGTAATTTCAAATCATATGCAGCACGTGACACTGTCACAATACAATTAGCCATTGATTGTACAGCTGATACTGATAGGTACTGAAATATAATCATTACAAACTGAGAGATATTGAAATCTTGTCAATTGCAATTTTGATATTACAAAATTCGCATATTTATCAATTAATCAATATTTTTGCGAATTTATGATCGAAATAATCTCTTATTTGTTTAAATGATAAAGAAGATATTTTAGCTTTACCGCAAAATAATTTAAATTTTAATAGAAACCTCATCAGCAGCATGTTTGGTAGCCTGAACACATGTTTTCAATACATCAAGTAATCGATCAGCTGCGTGTTTCACTTCTTTGCTAACATCACCGGACGAAATACACTCCGCAATTGTATCAGCCATATAAATTAATTTATGTGCAGTAAGTATTATCTATAAGTATTACTATTACTATCACCAATCAAATAATTGAATAATGGAGTAAGAGCGTAATGACTATTTAAGTATTTCATTTAGGAATAATAGAAATTATTTAAGCACCAAAATGATGATTTAAGCATAAAATTATTTTGATGTCTTATTCAAAAAGTTTGCATAATATTCCTCATTTATTCTGTAAATAATATTTTCCATATATCGTCTAAGTTTGGAATTTAAAAATTTGTTAAGAAATTTCATTCATTCATTTCTTACTCAGGTAATCATGCAATAATTACTGAACAAATAATAATTATTTGATTATAATTATTAAATTGTCATTAACAATATAATTAATTTGACAATGCATCATTGTTTTACTCAAAATATTTGCATTAAACGTTTCAGAATACTTAATTTTTCATAAAAAATTTGAAGCTACTAGTGGAGCGTTAAAGAATAAAATATATACAAAAGCTGTATAATCACCACGGTTGATAAGTGATAAGCATGAAATAATACCAGTTTTCCTTTCTGAACAAATTCATGAGGTGGCATTTGTTTTTCAATTACAGTCAAGAATTCTTCAATTGCCTTCGAAAGGAATTCAGTGTGTGCATCTAATTGTGGTGAATAAAATTCAATCAATTGTCTGTCATCATCGGACAACGATTTTATCACCTAAAATATCATTTTGTATAATGCAAGATGAATGTTGAAGAAAATGTGTTTAATTGGAGCATTAGGAATATTATTAAAAGCAAGTTGAAATGTTACTCAAATTTTTAATAAAATTATTCAAGCAATTATCTCAAACTGATTATTATCAATTATTTTATCTTTTCAATTATCTCTTATCTTATCAATTATCGTATGTTCCAATGAGTTAGTAAATCAAAGATGATTAAAAGAATAAAATAGTTCATATCAATAAAATGAGAAAAATCAAGCGAAATAAGAGTAGTAGTTGAATGAAAGAATAATGAAAATTTGATGATAATGAAGATTCCTGATTAATTAATTGAAATTAAGAGATAATCACTTCAAATTTATCATCAAAAAAACTTTCAAAAAAAATTTTAATTGAAAGTTTTTTAAAAATTAAAGAGTTGTATGAAAATATACCTCTATATTCAATTGTGATAATGGTGGTAAATTCGTTATCGGTGTCATTTTACGACTTACCACTTCAGTATCTTCAGCTTCAATTGTTGAGTCCTAAAATTTGATGGGAAATTTTAAAAATCAAAGAATAAATATGACAACTTAAAAATTGATACCCGAATAATTTGAATTGGAAAATTTTTCTAATCTAATTTATTAATTATGAAATTAGTAATGCAATTAAATTTAACGATTAATACTAAAATATCTTATCGTTTCGTTGCATTTTGTCACAGCATCACTTCTTTCTTTTTCTTCGTTTTAAAGATAATTTTACTATTATATTGGTATTTATATCTTTTGAATAGCGATCAGGAAAAAGTAAAAAGTAAATAAAATTATAAATGAAATAAATTAAAAAATAAGTTATTCAAAAAAAGAATTCGAACATAAGCTTAAACGAAGAGAGAAGATGCTAATACGAAATAGAATTCAAAAATACAGCATATCGCTTACGTCAAAATGTTAAACTATCACATATCATTTAATTTATACATGATTCACTAATTAGCTAACAAAAAAGAAAGATGAGTAACGATAACCTGATAGAAGCTATCGCGATCACTGATCACTGATTCTAAATCATCTTCTTCCAGAATATGTGCTTCCAGAATTGAATCCGATAATCGGTGTGAAGTAGTTAGATCATCCGCAAATGTTACACGATTTTGTTTACTAGTTGTTGTAGTTGATGGGCCAAAAGTTGTACGAGAAGCCAAAATTGATTGTGGTGTTTGCGTATCATTCAAACTTGAAATAGTCATCGTTGAAGAAGTTGACGTTCCCGATTGTCTTTTTAAACCCGTTCCAATCGTTGTTCTACCACTTGTTTCACATGTCCTACAAAATTTCATTCGTACAAACTTCTCGTTTTGAAAAAAAAGCCTACAAAAAAATTTTTGAAATATTTATTAGCCATTGCTTGACAAATTTGTATTCGACTAATTGGATATGTTGAAAAATGCAAGTGAAAAAGATATTGAAAGAGAATTAATGAGAAAAAACAGGAATTAAAAAAAGAAACAGAGAAAAGTGATTAATTAGTGATAAGTATTATCATCTCTACCTTAATAAGGGATCATCATGCGACTTATAAATGCTTGTGGTGATATTATCAGAGCTTAATGAATCTTTCAAACCATTCGTCAAGAAACGAACACCAGATGATGGTACCACCAGCAATGCCCATTGTATCAGTTTACAACAATCGATTGGCAACTCAAATTTTAAGTAAATAAAACAAAGGCTATAAATTTTAAAATGTAATTTTAAGACATCCAATTAAAAACGAAAATTCAAAAAAAGCTTTTCAAAATTACTCTCAAAATTTTCTCTCAAATATATTAATTAGCCCAATTAACCCAAATAAAAATTAAATAATTTGCTTGTTCCGATTGCTATAAGTCTTAAATATACCTGCTTGATAACAGCAAGGAATTGATCTAAAGCATCACTTCCCGATGTTGTTCCATAGATGTTACGCGGTCGTGATAGGGCACTAAGTGTCCAACCAGTATTGTCCAAATTTTGTTTCAATTGGGTTATGATAGCAGTTGAGCTTTTCAGTGGTGGAAGTAATTGTTTCAATTCTAAAAATTAAACAGTTTCGAATTGTTTTATTTGTAAGCTATAATTATTAAAGTTAGAAACTTCCAATTTATTAAATGAAATAATTTAAAATTAAAGAAACCAATTTTAAAATTTATAATATAACAATAATTAATACATTAATTATTCCAAACTTTAACATTTCCCGATGACTTTCATAAATATTTCATTATGACATTTAGGTTAATTGTCTACTTAGAAAATAAATGAAATAAAATTGTTTTAACTTTCTTTTAAGGAATAAATTCGAGCTTGCAAAAATTGGAAAATATAAAATATGTACCTTCGCTTTTCGGATTAATAACATCGATAGCAATACGGCATGCAGCATCTAGAAAACCATTCATTGAACTTGCAATCATTCCCACATGTTCTTTGATATCAAAAATATGTTGTTGTAGGATATGCGGTTGCCGCCATGCACGTGCTGCCGTACACTATAAATTAATGCATTATTATTTCAAACTTTATTAAATCAAAATTTCTGGACGATTTTTAAAAATATTTCGAAAAATTTTCATCACAACATTTAGACTAACTGTCAGCTAGCGAATAAATAAGATGAAATAATCTTAAATTTCTTTTAAGAATTAAATTCCAGTTAGCAACATAATAACAAATTCATTTCAATTTTTTTGCTTTCTTTTATCATCCGCTCTGATATTAAGACATTTCTGGATAGCTTTTATAAAGGTCAAACAAAAACTTTCACGGATTTTAATTTTTTGAGATCTATTTCCAAATTTTTTTTTTAAAACTTTCAAAAGTTCATAAGAATAAGAAACAAAAAAAATACAACCTTATTTAATTTTTCGACACTATTTTCGATATATCGATAGTTTTCAACAAGTTTCGAGCAAATAAGTTGCTTCCTAATATTTTCATCATTTGTTGAATTATTTCCACCACTAAAAAATTTCTACCATTAAATATAACCATAAAATTCTCAGCAATTTATTTGCTTTAAATCATACAATCACACTATAATGATGCCAGTTGAAGAAAATTTTTAATCTCGACATCGCGAAAATTTTTCATTTTCAATTTTTAATTTAAAATTCCAAATTATTTATAAAAGTTTCTTTCTATTTTAGAGAAACAATAACTTATCAGTGATAAGTTCTGATATGATTCGAAAATGATAGATAGATGAGTGCAACGTTTTATGTTTTTTTGAGCTTTTGTGTTTGAATCCACCAGTAGTCTTTTTAATCCTAATTTGCAAATTTTCAGAAAATATAAAACTTCTGTACTTGAGATCTTAACGAAAGGAAACAGATTTACCTATCTGGCAAACGGCGCTGATTTATTTGTTCGGGTGCGATACTTTCGCTGCGCTTGAAACGATCCTCCGGAGTGTGTCTATTACCACGCATACTTTCAGGTGGTATTGATGAGCTCCTGAAATACATACCTCACCTTCGTCACCTTAGAAATAGAAAATTCAAACTCTTCCATTAGTATTATAAAACTTTTCGATTACAAATTAAATTTCTTCTACATTGTTACTTTGTACTGTTCAAATAAACAACTTGCTAATCTTCTTTATCATTATGAAGTAATGTTTTTTTTTAGATGAAGTAGTAACTCATGAATAAACGTAACATTTCTGATTTTAAATTGTAAACACTTCAGATTTAAATTTTAAGATAAATTGCAACTTTAAATTAAAAATAAATGAAGGAAATATCAGGAAAAAAAAAACAAGTTATTAAATTAGTTAAAATGATAACTAACCTATTAGAACGTTGTATAAAACCTCGTTGATTATTCAAAGTGAGAGAAAGATTAAGTCGTGCCTCAGTACCACCGGTAGCTCCTAGATCAGTAGGAGAGGTTATGTTGGAACTGTTGAGAACGCCTTGTAAAATGGATTTGTCATTTGGCTCATTTTTCTCTTCCAATGCTGTCATCATTAGGCCGCAGGGTTCACGAACTCGTTCAAATTGGGAACGTTGAACTGTACCGATTGCTCCTTCAATACCATTAAAGTGATCTGCTGGTTGTCGCTGTCCACGATAATCTTGCGTCAGCGACAATGGATCATCTATCCATGATCGACAAGTTCTTCCCGCACGTGAAGCATCGAAATTTGATTCAGTTAGATCGGTTGATGGTTCACATGATGATAATGATGATGTTGCTGATGTTCTCTGGAAAGGTCCATTCAAAAGTAATATATATGCAAATTAGTGTCTCATAAAGTTTTGGTTGAAGAAAGATTAATTCATTTCAATTTACGCTTAATCCACTTTTTTAAATGATTGTCGGTCGATCAAGTGATTTCATGGGAATCAGAAAACTCTTGCAATGAAACTATTCAACATAGCATGAAATTTAACGTTGAGTTATGTAATCAGTTAACTACTTGATCGGATATGATTGTAACTTGTGCAAGAAAAAATTAAGGAAAATTGAATAACCTGATTACTTTCACCATTGGAGTCGTTCATATCAACAACAATTCCGGAAGAAGAAGGCGATGATGAACTAAGTTCATCGTGTGGAATGGTAGTTATATTAACAACAGCACTACCCGCTTCAGATTCATTAGATGAACTGGTATTCTGTGCTCCGGTAATACTGGTTGTACCTGAATCTAAATGTGCTGACCAGTGAAGTTCATGTTCTTTTGATGAAAAATTTCTGCCTAAGGTAAGTTTTGATGATGCATCATCCGTTGAAGTTGTTCCTGAAAAACCGTTAATCAAAGTTTGAAATAAATAAAAGCTAGCAGCTAAATATAATCCGATATTATGCTTTGTTCATATTTGATTATTATTTTGCTCAAATTAAGAAACACAGTTTTTGGAAATCTTTCATTATGCTATGATATCACTAATAATCTACAAATATAATTCAATTCAATTTTCTGACAACAATAAAACTTGACACTTTTATGGCATACAAATTATTTTTTTGAAGTTTAGAGAATAATTCATTTTCCAGAATGGAATTTCTGTGTTTCATGAGTTATTAAAAAGGAAAAGTGAAGCGCTGAGTTGCTAATTAATACTTCTAGTATCAATCGGTGGTTTGAGCTTAGGTTAAACTTTTGCTATTATTGGAATGCTTAATTTGAGTGAAATAAAGTTTGGAGAAATAATTTCATTCTCTCAGATTAGCTCGAAGTGACACTTTTATCTTTATATTTTAATATTTAATAATGTCATTTATTGGCTAATTAAAAGATTTCAATTCTTTCATTTATCCTCAAACATAGATGATTCAGGATCGTTTCTGATTTTTTCCTCCGGAATATAAGAGAGAAAGTTTTTATTATTATAAGATTAAAATTTTACCGTATTTTATTTCAGGAAAATATCACTGTGCAAAATTTATGAAAAACAAAATATCTAAGATTATAAAATTAATCTAATAAAAAAAAATAATAGTAATATAATCTTAACAAAATTAAATTTAAGAATAGCTAACAATTATGCCAATATTATTTTATAGTATCTATTGAGAATGTCTCAGTAGGTGATAATTTATGATCTAATCAATTGATGATTTATCTAATTTTAAAATAATTCTACAAATTCAATTTCCGTACAGAATAGCCTAATTGTTCATCTTAGCATTCGAAAATGAGTACTTTATTTCTATTTAATTGTACAATCAGTAGAGAGTATTTTAAAAAATGATTTACTGAAAAATATTTAACAAACCTATTTTTTGAAGCTTTCGTGCGATACTGTCCACAGAATCACCGTCACTGTCCATCCTATTTAATTTTTGCAATCTTTGTGGGCTTTCTTTTTTGTCATTCAATGAAGTTGAAATATTTTGATCATCAAATTTTGGCCTTGGTGCAAGTGATGGTCGATTTGATGTCCTCGTTGTGTACGAATCCGATTTTTCTGCTCTTCTGTAAAATATATTTTTCATTCATATAGCATGTAATCAATAAATTAGGAGCAATTAAAGTAAATTATATAAACTACTTCAAAATTCGATTAAAATCAATTTAGTACGGATTCATTCAATGACTTTTTTTGTTTAAAAATAATTAAAAACAAACTTAAGTCGTCTGTGATCCTCATCACTTGACGTAACTTCATTGGAACTTGATAAAGATCCAGCCGTTGATGATGTTGATGGATTAAAGAATTTTCGTTGTGGTGGCGGAGGTGGTGAAATATGACCTCCACTGAAACACCAACGCATTTTGATTGCAGTATCAGTTGATGGAAGTATTAATTTGTCTTCTTTCCTACAACCGATCGTGGTAGCACAGGAATGGTATACCCCAGAAAAAAACGGTATTCAACAAGGAAATGATAGCAGCGGTATCCGCAGAATCGGTGATATACGTTTTCAATTATATGATAGCACTACCAATCGTAGTGACTATTATTAGTAGTATTATTGGGTATTAATAATTGTAATATCAGTATTAATTAAAGTGTTGATATAAGCTGAACGATTATAGTAGTTTAATTTAATATAATAATTTTGAAACTTGCCACTTTAGTTACACTTATATATGAGAAAAATTCGATGCTGAATTTTCGACAAATTCGCAACTGAGAAAGAATCAAAAATTTGATATAATATAACATTTTTAATATCATTATGATATTAAATTTTTAGTAAAAATAGTTTAAACGATTAAAGATGAAATTTGAATGGAAATTAGATGATAATTATTTGCAAATTATGTTAAAGATCGTAAATTTCTGATCTGATCCGTAAGTGAAGAAAAAAAAAGCTGATGAATCAATAAAATCAGGTAATATAATAAATGAGAAAATATGGATGAATGAATAATTAGTTCATAAATTAATATAAAAATGTGTCATAATAATTTTGATTGATAGAAGTGCTAAAATTTTACTCGAACATATACGAATGCATGCATTCATTGTTTGATTGAAAGAAAATCTTCCGTGATGTTCATCATATCAGACAATATAAAAGTGTTGGAGATGACAAATGGTAGTAGTAAGGAAAGAAACAGATGATACTACCACTGATACTACTACTATATACTAATACTATTACTACTAGTATACTACTACCACTACTTTTACTATTAAATAATGATAATATTATTGGAAATAAATGATAATTTGATAATGATAATGATTATAAAGGAATTTGATTACTAGCGCTAAGAAATAACAAAGCTACTAGTAAAATAAAAAATTAAATTTTTAAAAATAGATTACAATAAAAGTAATAATTTCGTGGTAATGAAAAAAGAAAAATATAAAAACATCTCTATCTTATATATCTTTTTTTATATTCCAACTAAGAAATAAATGTATATTTTGTAATCGAGAAATATTTTTCAATCAAAATGAATCATAATTTACATAACGTTTTTACATGGGACAAATACATTTAGAAGTTTTTGCTTTGCTCGATACGACGACCTAAAGGAGGTTAAGTGAAGAACGATCGTTATTGTCGTAGTCGTCGTAATCGTCGTCTATCAGTGGTATGGAAAGGAAAAGAAAGGATTGTGATAGGTATACAACATTTTATGAATCATACAATGTTATTGGCATTGATAAAAGTGTTCAAGCTTAATGCAAATAGCATTATCTGAAATGAGTAATCCAAATGTATATACTTCAAAGATTTATTTTAATTTAATTTCAAAATTATTATCTCATAAATTTTTCCAAAATTAATAATCAATCAGCTAATAAATTAAAGGTATTTGATATGATAAAGCATTGCAAATGGAACAAAATGTTAATACACTTATCATTCGTATATAAATTATCAGATAAGGTATTGCTTTAAAAAAAGAAAACAAATGTATAATAATAGGTGTTTAAGCAGAAATTTCAAAATGTTAATACTCTTAATAATTAAGAACTGATATGTATATGAATATTAACCGTTTTGTTTTAAGATAATTATTAAAATTTAAACTTTTTATTTTCGAGTAATTCTTAAAAATTGATAACAATTATAATCAAAAAAAATTTGTTAGTTAAAATTCTTTTATTTGTTTTTGAGAATATATTTTTGATATTAAAAAATAAAAAATGAAATTAATTTTAATTTATTATAATAATGAAATTGTCATTGAAAATAATTTCAAAAATATTTTGTTGAAAAATGCAAGTATCCAACTAAACATTTATTATTGCAATCATTTAACGAATGGATAATAATTATTTGACGAAGGATGTAATTTAAAACATTGGGTAGAATTAGTAAAATGATGAATGTTGCTTGTTGAAAAGATCATTTAATGTGAAAATTACACCTATAAAAGATAAAGGTAAGATTGATTATCTCATTTTAAATCAATGATTTATGTTTATTTGTTTATGAATTATATTAAATCATTCTGTCATTTATTTCAACAATACATAAATTTAGTACAGTAATAACAAAATAATGAATGAATGGACGTATATGTATTTGTATTAATTTATTTAAAATAAAAAGATTTATTGTAATTCATCGTATAACTTTTAAAATTAAAATTATTAATTAAAATTAATTTTCGATCGTAACACTTCTTTGATTACTATTGTTTTAAATAATATAATTATTTAGTCGATGAATTAATGAAATTAAAATTTTTCGTTTCTATTAAAAAGAACAAAACAAAATTGATATTGAATTTGATTTCTTATAAATTTCTTATAATTTTTCTTATAAATCATAATAAAATAACAATAGTGATCTCGAAGCTCAACGTTGATAGTAAGTAATGATAAGCAAATGATAAAGTTTGAACTATCCCGAAATGACGGAAGAAGAAAAAGATTGGCAAGCGATATATTATCTTACATATCACTCATCCATCATAGTTTTACATTTAATTTATTTCAAACAAAAAAACCGATCAATTATTTATAGAAAGAAATTGAATGTATAAGTAAAGGATATTAATATTATTATTACTATTATTATTTTTTTTTGGAATTTAAATTGAGCGATAATAATTGAAGGATGTAAAATGGCTATGAAATATAAACTTTTCTCGCAATCATAAAACAATGATAATCGCAACATAACGATTTCGAACTTTTCCATTTTCATTTTTTTAATCAAAAATGTATTTTCGAAAATCTATTGAAATTTTCTCTCTAAATAATAAAAGGAAGAGAAAGAGAGAAAGAAGAGATGGAACCTGTTTATGAATGAAATCATTGGTATGGAAGAAATTATGCAAAATTTAGATATAAAACATTCACAATATATATTCATACGATGGATACGATGCTTCATTTCTAAAAGAATTTCTCTTTCTCTCTCTCTCTTGAGAGAGAGAGAAAAAAAGGACAAAGAAAATCGGAATCAATCGACAAATCGGCGCTTTTGGGTTTTCTATTGCTAAAAAGGACGGGTCGGAATGTAATTGTACAAAAAATTTTTTGATGTTTTTGTCATAAAACTTTGTTCATCGCTTATCTCTCGACTGTCATGTACTTTCTAAATTACTATAATATAAGAGGTCATTGAACGAGTTTAACCTAAATTTAAATGAATATAACATAACTTCTACTTACTCTATGTAGCATATCAGAGGTTTGTTATAAAAACTGCAAGACTATATTTTATTAATTAATTTGAATATAAAATTTTAGTTAATTTGTTCATAAATTAATAATATTACAAATTTAATATAAATGATTTTACTTAAACTAATTTAATGCTCATATTAAAATGCTTTTAATAATTTATTGATAATATCTTAACAATATCTGATAACATCTTACAATATCTGATAAGCATAATTAATGTGAACAAAAAAAAGTGTAATACCATATGAGTTATCTTATAGGCTAATTAAATAGCATATTACTTTATTTTTCGAACTCTTTTCTTTGCGATTTCGTTAATAAAGAGAGAGAAAGAGAGAGGGAGAGGGAGAAGGGGAAGAGAACAATCAAAATCCCAATGTACTAAAAATGAAATAATGGATGAAGAAAGATAAGTGACACGACGTATTACTTGCTATCATTATTGAAATGAAAGAAATGAAATTATCAGTAGGAAATAAATTTGGGATGAAATAGAGGACATTATATTAAAACAAAACTAGTTCCATGTAATACCGTACATTCATTCTATGCAATCCATCGTAGTTGTTGTAATCATAGTATTACTGTTGTTGCCGTTAGTTCTGTTGATATAATTTGTTTATCACTTCGTTTTTTTAACAATATCGTTATTTCATTTTAAATTGCAATTTTAAAAAAATGTGAAAACAGTTTGGATTTCAAAAGCTTCTATTTTAGATGATAATATAAAGTAATTAATTAATTCATATAATTTTATCAATTCTATTCATATAATTTTTATAATTTTATTCATATAATTTTTATAATTCATGTAATTTTATCAATTCTATAATTCATATAATTTTATCAATTCTATTATTCGAATTAAAACTTCTAACTATTCTTTGTTAGGAATAATTTAACTTACTATACTAACTTATACTTTTCAATACATTTAAAGTAAATGAGTTAATTCTATTAAATCGAATGAAATATCCAACTTATTTGAAAATTATTAAATCTATTTGATTTAATTAATTTTTTTTCGATCTCTACTGACCTTATTGTAAATGATTAGTAGTAAATTACTAACTATTAATTTCAAAAAACAAAAAGTTGAACAGAGAAGCAATTTGATCATTTTGATGATTCAAAGCTTAAATCTATCATAAAAGCTAATATTTTAAATTACATAATTATTTCATAATCTAGTTTTTTATTTGAATTTAATTAATACTCTAATTAGACTTACGTCAAATACATAAATCGATATGTATTTGACGTAAATGTAATTATTATTCATAGCACTAATCGTAGAAAAATATTTTAAAAAGAAAAAAATATTTCGTTTTATTAGAAAACATTAAAAAAATTATAAAAGTTCCTTTCCTTTTTCACTTTAAGATTCATTAAATAACTTTTGAAATTAATAGAAATTCGATTTATTGCCAGCCGTAATCATTCGTTATAATCAATGAGCAGAAAATGGAAAAAAGTGTAAATTTTCAATCGAAAATTTCTATTTATTGCATCAATTAATTATCACTACCAATAATAATAATAATAATAACTTCAATCTTATGAATTTCAAAATAAAAATTTTATTATTTTGGCTGAAAAAAGAATTCTGTCAACTGAACTCTTTCTGTGATAGTTATAATAATAATAATAATAATTTAATGGAAGTTTTGTAAATAATTTCTTTTTTGTAAGGTCAAAAAATTGTGACATAAAAATTATACTTTTTTCAAAATGATTTTTTTTATTTCTGAAAATATTTAAGTGAAACTTGAAAATATTTGATCGATCGATAATTTTAATTTACCGTAAAGTATTGGAAATTCTTTAGAAAAGTATGTGAAATTAATTGAACTTTTATCGTTAACAAAAAGAGAAAACTTTCTTTTTGCAGAACTTGTTTGTGATAATCTTTTTTCAAAAATAATTTAGTTTTGTTGAAGAAGAAATCATAATGATATTATCATGGAAATACCGTATTGATTAAGAGATAAAATAAATATTTAAATTCATGTATATTTTTAGAGTAGAAAAGTTTAGAGTAGTAAAGCGTTGATAAGAGAGAGTAAGCTTAAAGAAAGAGAGAGAGAGAGAGTAGTTTTTTCTATAAAGTGTCAGTGAAAAAAAATGAAGAGAAATAAAAGTTAAATAAGAGAGATAATGGTGAAAAAGAAGTTGACAAAATCGTTCTGTCCACTTCATTACCTCTTTCGCCGCTGGTCACTTTACTTAATTTCCCACCACTCATTCATTCAAGTCGACTAATTCGAATACTTCATTTTATTACCTGTTTACTATCCTGTTTACAAACAACGATGAATACCAATATAATTCTAATCGTTTTGTCATCATTTATTGACATTATAATTTTTAAATTTTCACTTTTACTAACATTTATTTGGTAATTTAACAGTTAGAGATGATATTTTCTGTACCGGAAAAATTTTCCGGAAAATTTTTTTCTGTTGGCCGTTTAAAGCTTAAATGAGGAAAAAAGATAATGGAATTTTGAGCACGCAATCAATTCAAATTTCTATTTGTGGAAAAAAGATTTAAAAAACAGATTTATTTCAAAGTTTCCTTTTTATAGTGATTTTTATTTTCACCTTCTGGCAGTGTTCAGTCAGCCATTACAAATGACAGCGACGCTTAGATTTCAAATTTCACTCGAACATAATTTATTGGAATTTGTTTATTGAATGTTAATGCTAAAATATAAAATTAATATTAATTCATTTGAAATAATTATTATTCGAATATCTTTTCATATCTATTAATATCTTTGGATTAATAATGATTTGAAGAGAATTTTTCAAACTTGCAAGAAGTATGCGATACGAATGCAAATTGCATGCAAATTGTTTTTGCATGCAAATAAAAATTTAAAAAAAAGGCATAAAACAAAAATTGGAAAAAAAGAAATTTCAGCAATAAATAATTTAAAATTACTCAGCAAAAAATTGTATAAGAATGAAATATTATCAAGTGATAAGAACAGAAATGATTAAATGCTATAAATTTTATCAGTCAATACGTGCCGATTGACTGATAAAGGTCATTTTTGTATTTTGGATAATAATTGAAATCGTTTTAAATTGAACTTTTCCCATAGTATATAAAAAATTATTTTGTTGTAATAAATTAACAAATTGTGTATTAATACAAAAATTGCTATCAGAGTTACTTTTTTCCTTTGGCGTCAATTAAATGATTTCTCTTAATTAAATTACTTAAATAATTCAATTCATTTCAAAAACACTTTAATCGAAATAAAAAAAATTTACTAATTATTAATTTTAAATTAAGTATTATGTAAAACATTGCAAAAAACCTGTTCTCATATTTCTCACTTCCATTTACTTTCAATTCTCTGAAAATTTCATTAGTTTAAATTTAACATATCACGTATTTACCTGTCAATTAATTTTCATAACAAGTAACAGCTAAAAAAAGAAAACACGTTTATAAGAGATTTTTAAGTAAAACAAATTCAAACAAGGAATTCACATTTTTTTGATACGAATAAATTTTGATCAATAGCTTTTACGTGTAACAAACTAAAACTAAAACAATCGGTTAATTTTGCATGAAAACTTAGCTCTCTCTCCCTCTCTCCCCCTTTATCTCTCTCTTCATCTCTCTCTTTCTCTCTCTCTCCATTTTAATTTCTTTTCAATTAGAAAATAAACTTTTTCATTTTTTATTTTTGTTTATAACTGTAAATAATAAAAAAAAATTATTCTAAAAAAAGTATTTTAAAAGATTTATGTTTCACAATTATTGCCAGCTGTAAACAATTATATTTTCTACCAAATTGTTAATGCTAAAGGCAAAAAGAAAGAGTTGAAGAATGAGAATTTCAGAAAATTTTAAATTAAATTTTTTGAATTAAATTAATTGAATTTTTTTGTTTTATATTTAAATATGTTAATTTAAAATTTTTCATTATTAGAAAAGAATAATTAAAAAGAAAAAGAGAAAGATAAGAAAAGAGGTAAATTCACAACGATCTTTGTAAAACATACATATATATATAAATTTCTTTTTGAATTAAAACTATTTCTTACCTCCAACTAATAGTTTCATTTCCATAAAAATGCTAGAAAATGCGGGGGGCGGGGGAAGTCGGGGGAAAAGTGAATTTTATTACCTTTAAAAATTCTCATTAAACTTTGCGCTTTTTTCTATCAAAATATTTTATATTATTTATTGAATTTATTTAATGCTGTTCTTCTTTTCTTCCTTTTTGATAAGAAAGCATTTATTATTTCTTTTCTACTTTAGTGAAAATCAAAAAAAGTTTAAAATTTCTTTTAGAGAAAAATTAATCTATTCGATAAGAAATAGATCAAAGTTATTGATTGATTATTGATTGATTAGAATTAAAATTTATCATACCTTTTTACCGTTTTCATAATGAATAGTTTTTATTGATTTGTTTACTGTTTATTTTAGTATTAATGTTGAAATTCGACAAATTACAAATTAAGTTAAGAAATTAAAATAAATGTTTATATTATCAGTGTGGAATGAATGCAATGTATGAGATTAATCAATATAAAAGAATCTGATACATGACAGTTTCAATAGTTAATCTAATTCCTCAGGATATTATTATATTAAGGGGTAATTTTGAGAAGTTTTAAGAAGTCAAAGTAAGGTTTATATTAAACAAAGGCATGAAGTGAAAAAAATTTTAGCCATTAAAATAAAAAGTAAAGAAAATTTAGTTTTATTAATTATTTCTTTAATTGGAGTGACAAACATAAAGTAATTTCAAGAAGTGTTAGCGAAAAAAAAAAGCAAATCTGTCATTGAAATTATCGTCAATTGATGGAGTGATAAGAGAAGGATAGGTAGTGATAACAGAAATGATAACAGAAGGATCAGATAAGATAAATAAAAAAAAATGATGTACCAATAAAGTGTTTTTCAGTTGTTAACTAATTAAAATTTGAAAGATAAATGAAAAGATGTACTAATGAAAGTACTTTTAAGTGTTAATAATTGAAATTACTATTAATTGAATTAAAATCGATAAATAAAAATTAAATATTTTAAAAGTGAAAGGAAATATTTGCTATCGTATTGCATCAATTCAATAAGAATTGCAAAAATGTACCCAAATCAATGTATACACAGAAGGTCATCATCATAGGATAGTGGTTGGATGACCTTCACATTTAGGATAAGAACTAATATGTCAATATGAGTGAAGCAATTTCGAGCAAATAATTCAATTTCAAAAAACCACACAAATAATTTAAAATTATCATCAAATAACGGGGTTTTTTTGTTTTGACTTATTTATTAATTTCTTTGAATTAAAATTTTAATTGATTTTAAAAATATTTTTTAGAGAAATGAAACAATAGAAAATTTTGAAGAAAATAGAAAAACTAAATCTTTTTTAATAATTTTAAATTTTTAATTAATAACCTTAAATTAACAATATTTCATATGAAATGAGAATAATTCTTTTCCATATAATAATATAGGGAATTTTGAGATTTCCATTGATTTCAGAGCAAAGAATATTTTATTGAAATTTTTTGAAAGTTTAAAATAATTAATGGAATACTAAAACAATTACAAAAATAATAATTTTTGGTTGGATTTTAGATTATACAGAAATAAGGTAAACTATAAAAAAAGATCGCAAAATTATAAAAATTAGTTAAAAAATGAATCAATATGAGTGAGATGTATAAAAATGAAAAAGAATTGTGTAAAAAATTCCAATAGAAAGTTTATTATAAAATTTAATTCGAAAAAAGATTTTAAATTGCTATTTAATGAAAATGAAATGTGTTATAATATGCATTGAAGTGGACAGGTCATGTGTTGAAGTGGACAGGTCATTGTTAAATTTAGAAAAAGATGCTGACCTTTCGAATTTCGCGCGATAATAGGGAAGTGTTGAAGTGGACAGGTCATTGTTATAATGGCGATTACTTGGAAAAATAAGCGTATTACACTTTGTCTTATCGAAATTATTACCATTATCATTTAAAGATGCCTGAAATGTAAGAGAAGATGAAGTTTTGATTATAAATCATTTTCTAATTATGGTGAATTTGAAAGTTAAAAGGAGCTAAAGTTTTAATTCATTTAAAAAAAATCTAATATGTTAAATGAGGCAAAATTTAATCATATCAAAATTAGAATGATTATTATCTTTCTATCTGAACAATAAACTCATTTTCTATTATTTTCAAAATGATTCATAATTAGCTGATACTAACAAGATGATAAAGAATTTGTTTAGGGAAAATTGAAAGAGGCAAAAAAAAAAACTTATCATACTTTTCATATGTTAAAAGAATTAATCAATTATCAACGAAATGTTATTGTAATAGTATGTTAGATTTTTAAATTAATTTGGAGCTTATAATAAATTATAAATTGCTAAAACAAAAGCAGAGAAAAAATCAAACTCATTAATCATTAAATTAAACTAAATTAGTTCAAGTAAGACAAATAATATTTTTAATAAGTAAAAAATATGCTATAAAATGAGTGTATAGCTAAGAGAAGTGTTAACTAAATATTATTGAAAAATTTTTAAACGACAATGTTCCAACTTAATAACTAAATAAATATCATTTTCGGTATAAATGATCACATGATAATTAATATCCGACAATTTCGTCGAATATTATTAATTCTCAATCAAATGTGACTACTCATTACAATTATTCAATTCATGCAACGGAAATGAAAAGTAAAGCAGAAATTTCTTATGTTTGGTCGATGATAAATTGTGAAATTAAATGAAATGAAATGAACTCTTACACTTTCCACTTTAATCGGAATATTTCGCACAACGCCGCCATATGGTGGCGAACCAAAGGTACCATTAGACATATGGCGCAAAGAAGTATCCTTGTAGCGTTCCAATGGTGAGAAAGGAAATATACGGTCGAATAATAAACCTGAAAAAGAAGAAAAATATTAAAGATTATTCGAGAATAATTTAAATGAGCTTCCCGAGTTTCCTCAGATACAAAAATCTTATCCTGTAATGTAATCAGATAATGTATAATTAATTTTACAAATTTATTTGTAACTCATTTAAATTCCATTGCTATTTAAAATTAAATATACATTGGGAAAATAAAATTGAATTGTAAAATGGATAATTTAAACATTCAAATCGATCAATCAATCATATATGTATTATAAGGAACACATTTTTTTTCAATGCAATTTTTCAGTTTATTAGAAAATTAAATGATTGATTGATTGTTTGATTGATTTTAATATGTTTTTATATCGAAAGGAATTTTTTGTTGATGAGAAATTAGTTAATATAAGAAAAAGAATAGTGCAAAAATTATCAGAAGATGTTTTCCTCACAAATTTTGTTGAAGTTTTGACATCCAAAATTTTAATTTAAAAATTAAGGATGAAAAGGAGATTAAAAAATAAACCTGAATCAGATGTGGGCGAACTAATGAATTCATTGGTGAACGATGATGTAACATCATCCAATGAATCATTTTCATCGATAAACGGTGTTGATAATTTTCCGTTACTACTAAACATGAACCGTCGTCTATTATTGCTAATACTGTTGCTATTAATAAACGGTGATGAGATCGATTCCTGAAATTGTCACTTTCAGATCTTTTCATTGAGATGAATTTAAATTTTAAGTGAATTTGGGAACAGAAATCGAGATAAATTTGCAATTAATAAATTAAATAAATTTCACAAAAACTTAAATATGTTCTAATCAAGTAAAAAAATTATCATATATATTTGTGAGTAAAATTTATTTTATCAATTAATTAATTAGTTGTAAATAGCAATTAGCAGTTTAGCGTAAGTGACGCAAAATGATTCGGATCGATTTATAAATAAATATTCATTAAATAGCAATAATTATTTTCCATTGTAATTTTATTGTTCATCTCAACAACTAGCGCTATTTGGGTATTAAAGTGAAAATGACACAACAGTGTTGTTTCATCGAGAAATATCAAATGCTTCTTCTTTACCTTACTTTAATTTTTTCCTATCGAGGGAAAATCCATCAAGAGATCACATTGTAAGTGCGGGATAAGCAGGGAGCGGAGAATTATCATTTGAGATCTTATATTGAAGAATAAAAGAAAAAAGGTAGTGAAAATGAAATGGAAAAGATTGAAAATAAATAAATAAATAATTTGTATGAAAGAAAAAGAAAGGAAATGGAAGTGAAGTGATGTGAGAAGGACGAATTTTTCGTTGATTTATCCATCCTTCTCCATCCATTAATTATTTTTCTTCGAATCTTTTTTATTATAAGAAAGAACGACAACAGAGTTAATGGCGCAAAAAACCGTCTAAAATTCATTTGGTACAAAAATTACTAAAAATAAATTTTAGTATAATATTTTCATTTCAGCGAAAAAGTTTTTGTATACTTCATATCAATGGAAACGTGATCATATACTCCATATCAATAGAAACGTGATCATATACTCCATATCAATGGAAACGTGATCATATACTCCATATCAATGGAAACGTGATCATATACTCCATATCAATGGAAACGTGATCATATACTCCATATCAATGGAAACGTGATCGTATACTTCATATCAATGGAAACGTGATCGTATGCTTCATTGCATCGAAAACGTGATCGTATACTTCATTTCATACGAAAACATGATTGTATGCTTCATATCAGCGGAAACATGATCGTATACAGTGACATAATCGTATACTAATGAATATTTATTTATAAATCTATCCGAATCATTTTGCGTCACTTACGCTGAATCGTATATGTGATCGTAAATGAAAACGTGATCGTATAGATTGTTAAATACACAAACAAACTAATCTAAGACATTTCTTACGTTTAACTTTCACGTAATTTATGTATATTTTTTTTCCGCGTCTCTCTAAAATATATATTCAACAATTAGAGATGAAGGAAAAGAAAAGGAAAGAAAAGTTATGTGTAAATCAATGAAGTAAGGAAGGATTTAATTTGAGAAGAAATAAATCTTTCATGTTGTAATTTGTACGTGCAAAAAAGGAAGATTAAAAGTATTAAAATTTTACAATAATTTTTTAATTTTTAAAATTTTAAATTTTTAATGAAATAAAATTTTTAGAAATAACATATAATAAAAGTTTTTGCGTGTATTTTTGGGACTGAAAAATGAATCGATAAAATATATAATTAAGGGAAAGGTGAAAAGGTGAATTGATATTAGGAAGTATAAGAATAAAACTAAATTTCAGTAAACAAATTTTATAACCAAAGCTGTACTTCTATCATATATGTATTACTCATACATACACACACAGACAGACAGACAGACAGACAGACATACACGGAAATGTATAAACTATGTGAATAGGAATTTAAGATTGATTGAATTTAGGAAAGACTGAAATTCATCGAAGCCATTTCAAATATAATCAATAACTATAAGAAGAAATAAGATTTCAGAGAAGATTGAATTAATTTATATAAATTCCTAAAAATTTCTCAATAAGAAAAAGTATATTGAAATTTCGAAAATATTACAGTAAGAAATAGAATATACTTTTTAAAAAAAGAATTGAAAAAGTTAGAAATTAGTTTAAAATATTAATAAATTATGCAAATTTTTTGATACTAATTAAAATGAATTTTATTGAATTAAGAAAGAAAATACTTCCTTAATTATTATTTATATCAAAATTTTATGAAATATTTTCAAATATTAAACAATTATTAATTAATATGAAAGTAAAATAAAACTTTGACATAACTATTTAATCATTTGAGAGAGAGAGAGAGAGAGAGAGATCAATTGAAACAATTAAAATTTCATTCATTAAATTTTCATCAATTAAATACTGTCCATTTTTGAATAATTGAATATTAAACATTTTAACATCATAAACTGTATTTATTGATTTATTGAAATGCTATAGATTGTGATATTAAAATGTTTGATATTCAAAAACTTCTTTTGCACTAAAAGATATACGATTCGTTGGAAGAGGTGGAAAATTTATAGTTTGGTGATGAGCTTTCTTTTGCATCTGACAGCAAAGAAAAAAATTAAACTTAGAATAAACTTCTCGGCACTTCAAGAACATTATTGACAGAATAATTTTGAAATGAAAAATTTTTTTTAAATATCGAAATTTGTTGAAACACTTTTAGAAATGATCAATCAAAAATCAATGTTGAAATATTTTTATCAAATTGAAAAAGCTAAAATGTTTTTTTTAATTGCAACACAAATCAATCATATCATTTAAAATTTCAATTTTGAAATACATAGAACTTTTTTCTTTGTTGCAATTTGAATTATTATTTTGTTAATTATAGGAAATTTTTAATAAAATATAAGCGATCGTTTGAATTTCAGAAAAAAATAAAACAATGATAACAAAAAATAAAAATTTAATGAAATGAAATTCCTTAAGAAAAAGAAGAGATGTAAAATTAAATCAATTGATTAAAATAATATTCTTTTATATTTATTATTAGTTCTACCTGAGATGAAGTGTTCTGATCGAATCGATGAAGCATTCGGAGACGATTCGCTGGTGCAATACCGCGTCTACCGTTTTTATTAATGCAACACCACCAACCAGTATTAATTCCTACTCCACTATTCGTACCTAAAATATATCAAAACATACTTAGAAATAATTTAGCTATGATAGATTGAATTCATTTGGAATAAAATCATTAAAGGTTAGATTTGGAAAAAAGCATTAGTATTATAATGTTCATTTTTCAATTCGATATTTTATACTCTTAACAGCAAATTATTTTATCAGTAATTCAATAGAAAATGATAAGAGTAAGTGCTACTATCAGCTAGTTTATCATATCCATTTTGAAAATTATAAATAATATTATTTTAAAGTAAATATTACGTAATTAATAAAATTATGATCACTTTCGGTTATGCTCATTTTTCTCACATTATATTTAAATAATTTACTTTCATATTTGGATAATATATTTGAATAATAAAGTTGAATTTAACCAGAAAATTACTCTTAATGAGTAAATGATTTAAAGTGATAATAAGTGATGAGTAATTTAAAATGATAACAAGTAATGAGTAAATGATCTAAAGTGATAATAAGCAATGAGCAAATGATTTAAAATGATAATAAGTAATGAGTAAATGATTTAAATTGCTAATAAATTAAGGGTAAATCAAAAGAAGTAAAAAATGATAAGTTTATGGAAAAAAAATTCAACGATTTTACTATTTTATTTACACTTCGAAATTTAAGTATTTGACAGACCAAAAAATTTAAACTATTTTCTTCAAACGAATACATTCAAATGGTTGTTATCTATTTGAAAATTAACAACATAAATCAATTTTTGGCATTAAACGATTTTTTAAATTTTATTATTTCAAAATTTACTATTATTTTTATTTAACATTTATTTGAATAGCAATTTTTTCCTATACTTGCCGATAGTAAATTTTACATATTTTTAAAAACAAAAATTGAAGTACAGATAATGTGATTTCAAATCTTCTCATACATATATTATTAAATAGAAAATTATCGCTGATAAATTGTAGCTAACCATTTGTTTCTTAATTGCTTTTCTATTCACTTTAATTATTGCTATTATTTTTATTAATTACTCGTCCACATACTTAATTAAATTACATTTATTCGTTGATTGTTTAAATGTTTTAAAATTCGCAATTCTTATATTCAATAATTAATTGTAATTTCCAATTCGTTTCAACGGTAAATGAAAATCTGTAAATTTTTTTCTGTCAATAAAATGTTGAAAATTTTGACAGTTAAAGAATTTTGAGACATTTTGACATTTGTCAGTAAAAATTGGAAAAAGGTGAAATAAAGAATGGCATAGAAAGCATTTCAAATCATACATATTTCACATCAAATTTTATGAGAAATTTTCTGCAATTTTTTTTTAATAATTCAATTTTTAGAATAAAAGATAAAATAAAAGGGCCGCTTTGAGGTATTTATTCTTTCTTTTCTTGCCACCTTTAATTGAACATTTTCAAATTTGCAAGAGAGAAATAATAAAGGGAAGAAAATCATTTGCGAAATAAGATAAGTTGCATAAATAATTTTTAAACTCTTGTCATTTACCTTAAAATTACCCTTTGATTGATTCTTTCAATTATTAAATTTCGGATTCTTCAAATATTAAATTCAAATATTAATTACTTTGATAAATTCTTTCAAATATGTAATTTCAAATCTCCAATGAACTGTTACAATTTATGAACTGTTGTATTCAAAATATCACAATGTTAATATTTCAAATTGAAATCTCTCATATATGAATGAAAAAATTTAGTTAGGAATGAGAAAATTTTATTGTATCATTTTTTTGCATATTTTGCTAAATTATAAGGTCAAGAGTCAACTTTATTTTCTAGCCAGAAAACGATGATAAAATTGGTGTTATTATTAAAATGATAATAATAATCTTCAAATGAAAGTTATTAAATTCATTAAATTGCTTAGTCAATTTAAGAGTAATAATAATAAATAATAATAATGATTAATAATAACAATTGATAATAATTATTATCGTCACTATTATAATAATTAATAATAATTATAGTCGTAATAAATAATAATAACAGTAATAATGAATAATAACAATAGTGATGATAATGATAATAACAATTAGTAAATAAATATTATCGGTGGAAATTTTTGTAAAGGTTAAAAAACTTACAAGGTCGTTCGTTCAGAACGCGTAAAATTTCGCCTCGCTCAAATGCTAATTCGTCAGGCCATTCGGCTTGATTATCGTAAATCGCTTGGGCTACGCCAACCTATAATTGTTAAATAAAAATTTTTTGAAATCAGGTTTTTTTCTTTGTTCTCTATCAGCAAAAAAAAATGGGAAATTTTTACTTTACTTACAGTTGAAATTCATTTTCATGATAACCGGAAAGTACGAATACATTTTTCGATTATTAATTCTACAGAGAATTGTTGGATAAAATATAAATTTCACTCAATGCTTACGTACGTTAGGATACGTGTTTCACGTATTCAAAAATATCAAAAATATATTGTAATATAGCAATGAACACAATCTAAAAGACTGAAAATTATGACTGTCACAATTAAATTAAAGGAGTTTTGAAAATTTTAGAAGATGTAAGAAAGATACGAACAGAATAATATTATAAAGAGAATAAAATTTTAGGAATTTGAGAATTAAAAAGGAAGCCGAAAAAAAATAAAATGCTTTTATGAGCAGCGCTAAACGTATCATCCATACCTATTTCATACCTGTCCGTTTAACATTCTCATTAATTACATTATGTTTCATTAATTTTTCATTCACATTTACTTCTCTTTCATGACAATTCTACAATGAAGTAAAAAGGAATGATATGAAACTGATACCTTTCATCTTAAATTATTTTATTACCTGAACTTTTGTCGTTTTCTGTCTTCAATGATGCATGAAGAAAAAAGAGAGAGTTATTTCCGATGAATTTTCAAAATTTAAATCTAACAACAAACAGTAGTGAGAGATGAAATAGTTGATGATGACAAATGTGGACAGATGTGATTTAAATCAAATCAATGCGAAAAAAGGAGAGAGAGAGAGAGAGAAGAAGAAGGGAGAAATGAAAAACCCTACAAAAGTTGTTTTTTATTTTCCTTAAAGTAGTAAATAAGTATTGTCCAATTAAATCGACGAATTTTCATTTTTTACCATTCATAAAATATATGTTAACTATATATATATAGTTAATTCATCGGGTTTAACAGTTTTTGGCGGGTTTAACAATCAAAATTCTATATATATATATCATTGTGCTAATTATGTGAATATAATTGAAATAAAAGATTAGCAATGAATCTTTTTTACATTCAAAAATTTTTTAAATTTCATCTTTTTTCTTAAAAATCAGATTAATTTTAATTTATTGCATTTTATGTTTTAATTTTATTATTTATAGTATGTAAATTTTATTCAGTGCATGTAAAGAATTCAACTTTAATAACAAAGTTTTACAATATTAATTATTTCTATTAAGGCTAAATTATATTATTATTATTACCATTAATTATTATTATTAAAGTAATTATGGGCCACACTGTTAAGATTATTCAGATAATGCTATCAATCATATTTAGATTTGTTTTTTTTTTAAATGATTGTAAAATGAAGTGATAATGTAATGTGACAGTTTTGATAATACTGAAGAATTTCCAAATGAAACACAACATCACGAGGAAAATACAACTTTACCGAATATAACTAAAATCTTCCGTTAAAAGAGAAAGCAAAAGTTTAAATTAACAAATGTTCACAATGACCTATGGCTATAAATTTGCTAATCAGATCGATCGATCGTTGTGTTTCTTCCGATCGATGCCAATATATTTCGCGCAAACTTTTGTCCCTAACAGCTGACTTTTTCGTTCACAGCAAACATTAAAATATAAATATAAGAGATAATAAGCTAACAATTAGGATAATGATAAGAGATAATGATAATCAAAATAAAATTATAAATCAATAATTTTTGTTTTTTTCTTTTTTAAATATATTTTCCTGATCGTAATATTTATCTTTCGATCTGTTTGTTCGTCTGCCTATTTTTTTCACATATTTGATCGTTTAGTTCTACACGAAAGGATAGCTGGAAATAATCAATACTGAGCAAAAACTTTTCTCTCTACATAATTCATCTTCAAAAGAATTCAATTAACAACTGTTAATATTTCTAGTCCCTTTTTCTTTCTCCTTTCCCTTTCCTTCTCTCTCTCTCTCTTTCTCATTAATTAACCAATTTTCCACTAATTAAGGTGAAAGAATTCCATTAGATCTCTTAGTGATTAACTTTTTTCTCAACGATAATGTAAAATGGTAGCCATAATAGATTATAATCGTCACATCTTATTTTGTTCATTTATTTAAAAAGAAATTTTTTAACAAATTTTCGGTACAAAAAATTTCTTTGAAAGGAAATTAATGAAATTTAATTCGAGGGAACTTCAAAAAATATATTAAAATTTAATTTATTAAAAAAGAATTTTAAAATAACTGAATAAAGAAGAATGAGAAAAGAACCGATCAGATTTTCATTGTAAACGATTGATTGATAAAATAAATTAAATTTCAATATTTTGAAGTTTTGTGAACGATTGATTGATTGATTGATTGCAATTATTTGGAAGTGGAAAAAGTTATTATAACGGGAATGGAATACCATTTATTCCATCTGAACAAATGGAATCGTTTATCCGTTCAAATCATATTTATAATGATTATTGATTATATTGATTATTGATTGACTATTTACAGCTTATTCAGTTTTGTCAAAAAAATTTTGTTAGTATTTCAGATCTCTCATTAGTTGTATAAATGAATGAATTGATAATGAATCGAGAGAGAGAGAGAGAGAGAGAGAAAGAGAGAAAAAATAAACAAATCATTAATTTTATAGATTATAATTGAATTGGTATTGTATGGACAATAAAATTTAGACGATAACAGAGGTAAATTTCGAAAATTTCAACTTTGTCATTATATATTATTGAAATTCAAAATTTTCCAATTCTCAGTACAAACTATATATTATTGTTTACCGGATGAGATTCCTGAAAACTCATTATTACTAATTGTTTTATTATTTCCTTTTAATCAATGGATAGTAGAGAAGTTTGAAAATTTATAATAAAAGAAAAATTAAATATTAATTTAAAGTAATCAAATAAAATTATGTAATTTAAACAAATGAAATATATTATTTGCAAATAAGAATGAATACTCTTTGTTTTCATAAAATAATACTATTAATTATGATTAATTACATCTATTTCTTTTAATTATCCATTTCAAATTTAAAATATATAAACTTTATTTAAAACATTTTTGTGATTTCAATAATCTTCTTCTTTTGCTGGCTGACCTAATTCTTCAATTTCCTTCTTCTCATATTTTTGATAATAAAAGTGAGTGACTATTTTTTATAAAAAGAAAAGGAAGTAACCATTACGGAGAGAACAGAGAATGAATTTCCGTCTATCCTTAATTTCTGTTCCACTAAACCGGTAAATAGCCTATTATTATTATTGTCCTCTAACCTAAAATTATTCTTTTCAAAAAAAGTAGGAAAAAATTGTTGAATGAGAAAAGGTAAAAAAATAGTGAAGTAAAAGATGAAAATGACACAATTAAATTTAACATTAATTATGTAATTTTTATATAAACTTCAAGAATGATTATAAAATGATAAGAATACGATTGGAAAATAATAGTAAATAAGAGAGTTTGTGAAGTTGATTGGTCAATGAGTTATATTATTACAATGTATATCATTCAAGGTCAATTCATTGGTGAAATTGTCGATCGGTTGCAAGAAATCGTAAAAGAGATAAATATATGCAATGAAATTAGAATAATAGTTTGAATGATATTAATTGGATTGGATTGAAATAGTTTGGTATCTTTTTTTTTATCACACATTAATTAATAAATTTGGTATTACAAAAAATTGATTTCTTTAGCATATTTACGACAATTCGTATGATACAATCTTAAATCCAAAATGTGTATTCTCTTTATAAAAGCATTTAATACCATTTAATGAATATCTTTGAAATCCATTTCAAACATCAATCTTTGTTAATTTATAAAGTTTTCAGTAAGATGTTTGGTTGTTTGGTGAAGGATAGAAGAAGTCCTTTTGATTGCCGATCTATTCGTAAATGAACATTCCGGAATGTTAAGGGAATTATATTCTCAAATCGATCATTCTAATAATAACCAGATATTCCAAAATGTTCATATTGTTTTAAATCTCAAAACGATTAACATTGTTGAAATAAAATTCAAAAACGATTTACACTGATAATTATGTAATCGAACAATTAATCAATTGATTTGAGTTAGGAAGTATGAAATAAGACTGAAACAATTATTTAAATAAAAATTTATTTTTTGAATTCAATCGAATGCTAACTAATATTGTAAACACGTGAATAGAGATGGATATCGTTTTACTTTTTCATGATTACAACAAAGGAATTAATCTTTTAAATTTAATTAATCTTTAAAACATTGAAACTCCTTTGTTTGAAATTAATTTAATTTAAAAGTATCGTTCATTCATTTCCTTTTTAAGTAACAAAATATAGCAAAACGGAAAATGATAAGACAACAAATAGAATTGAATGGCATAAATTTCGAATTAAATTTATTGGTCATCTTTTGCTCTTTTCATCTTTCTGTTTTCTCATAAATTTCAATCACTTTGCATAATCCTATCGCAAAGATTCTCATCGAATAATAATAATAATATTAACGTTAAATGACCACAACAACGATTGCTTGACCGCCCTAATTAATACGTTGTGTATGAATTGAACATTTTGTATTAAATTGACAGATTGGAAAAGCAATAAATTGGTCATTTGGTTAGATAGAGTTGGCAATGGATACTACTGATCGATATGTAGAATATGATAATTCATTTTCTAAAACGCAACCATTAATCGGTGAGTTTGAAGAGTAAATTAATTTAGCAATAATTGATTTATTCTTTCATAGGAAATTTTTAACATATAAATTTAATAAATCTCAAATTGCACAACAATTAAAAGAAAGAAATAAATAAATAAAAATTAATTATTGATAAAATTTTTTCTTAATCTTTTTTTCAATAAATCATTTTGAAATATGAAAAAATTCATAATTCAACTTATCAATGATATGATTAATAAACGAATTAATCTTTCATCACTGATTAATTATTCTTAAACAAATAAACTTTTTTATATGAATAAACTTACTCGACTAATTTTCCAGATCATGAACCGTATGAAACAAACGATTGCAATGCAAACCGGAACAAATTCATTTCTATGTTGGCGAAGAAAATGAATATTCGTCTGAGAATTTCCAGTATTGAAATTTCTACTAATCGAATTCAACGTTCGACAAAAAATTTTTACCAGAAATTTTCGAAATTTACCAGGAAAATCTCTCACTAACATTCTATGCAACGATCGAATAAATATGAATGAATGTAAAATTGAACTTATAATAACTATTATTTATATAATTCAATGATTTCATTTTATCCTTTTTTAGACATTCTAAAATTATTTCGCATAATTTTGTAAAATTTTTTGAATTAAAAAGAAAGAGGCGTGAAAAGTGGAACGGATATTGCAACAAAAATTTATGATAGTTATGTGAAAATGTAGAAAATTAAGCGTAACTAATGAATATTTTGATGCCATTTATTCATATTCATTCCTCTTATATATTTCTTAATTAATAA